GATTTAAATACTTAAATAGCTCATAATAAAGCACTCGTTCATAATTTGATCTCTATGGAAGTATCGAAATACTACGAAAAATATTCTGATTAGGAATATGAAATTAAAAATGTACATAATATTATAAATTTTTATCAAAAAATTAAAAATAAAATTTTTTTTTATAATATGCTATTTTTAACGACTATTTCTAAAAACAATTGTTTTAATATTAATAGTTTTTGTAGTGCGATGTGTGTCTAACTTTAAAAAAACCAAAATCATTCTGTATATTATATGTCGTAAGTACGTGTCGTGTCTACGGGCGACGGTTTGTAAGGTTTTTACAGAAGCAGGTCGTAATAATAATATATTGTATAGTATAAATATATCATGTAGGATTATGGTTATTATACAGTTTTGTAGCGTTATCGTTAGACAGGAAACGAAGAAAGAAAGAAAAAAAACAGTATAAAGTAAAGTGATGTACAAGGTGTAATAGGCAATAAAACCGCGGACCGGCGGTGACTTACTGGGATCGTTAGTCACTGGGCCATAGTCGACCGGCACCGACGCTCTGTTAGTATTGATAGCAATATTTTCGTTCGTTTTGGCGGAATTTCGGTCGCAACAGACGTACAGGAAGCCACCACAGGTGCTCTCAATGTAACCGGAAGCCATCCAGCAAGTTAACAAAAATTCACAGCTTCCTGTGTTGCACAAACTATTGCGTTTGCTGTCTATGTCCAAGTCGGTCCATTCATCTGCGAACATCATCCACCGTCTTCACCTGATCATTTTTTTTTTACATTTGGAACAACCGTTCCCGAGGTATCTCTCTCGCTCTACACGTCGTCACATAGAGGTATTTACGCCGAAAATGTGCTCGTGGCCGATATGGTCGGATGTAATCGTATATAATATATGATATTATTATAGTCGAGTTGTTATTGTTTTATTATTATTATATTATATTAATGTCGTACTCGTTCAATATAATATTTCATAGAGTCTTTCGGGGTTGTCGGTGAAAATAAGTAGTTTTATACAGAGTCCGTGTCCTACCAAACTATTATTATTAATAATTAGTCTTATATTATTATTGCGTACGTGTTTAGAATACAACAGTTGTTAACATTATTTATGTCATCACTCACTCGGTATATGTAGGTACAATAATATGTTAATAATTTTATTGGTGTGTTTAGTGTCAACGAATCCTCTGTGTTATAATATACTCATACTCATGTCTGGAAGCTATATAATAGTGTTAACCGTGCAACTATAATATTATATTCTAATCTAAATATTATTATCAATAATTGATAATTAATTAATCAAAATATTATTAACCTGCATACCTAGAACCTCCCAGCATATTTTAGTGATGAGTGATGCTCACTCAATACCAATTTATTTATGTGAAAAAACTATAGAAAAGTGAGTTGTCAACAAACGTACATAAAATTAGTTGTATGTGTTAGTTTAAAAGTTATAGATAGGTTTACAATTTTGAAAATTGAGAGGACCATTTGCTGTTTCCGTCTTAAAAACGTACAATATGGAAAATTTTCGTTCAACACAATCATTTTTGTATTTTCACCTTAAATATCGGAGGGAATCGATCTATTGTCAAACTTAAAGGTAAGTATTTTATCTAGTGCATCTGGCATAATACCATAGGCTTTTATTGATATTTTAAATTTAAATGGGAGTTATAACTATATGTAAAATATAGTACGATTTAAAATGTAAATATCAACAATAAGCCTATGAGACATTCTAAGATAATATTCTTAAATTTAAATTTGACAATATTGGTCAATTCACTTGGATATTGAAGCCATAACATAATATTGGTTCCATTGAACGCACTTTTACTATAATATGTCTGTAAGACGGAGACAACACATGCGGGCTCGTCGTACTCTTAACAACAAACAACATTTGTTTCGTATATACTTAAATATTCATATTATAATAATATTCATAAATCATAATATTACAATTTATAATATATTATATTGGAATAATATTGGAGTTTCGGGAACGATCGGCTGCAACTGCAGATCAATCTGATCCGATTCACTTTTTTCCCACAGCGTATTATTAATTGTCCTTCGTGACACGACTTATTAGTTGATTTCTAAATTAATCATGCACAAAAATACCGGATTTAAATGCTCCAAACACATTACCTAGGTACTCACTACTCACAGTTAATATATATATAGGAAATTATAGTTAACACCGATTACATGCCTAACCCACACGGGACGCACAGGTACTACACAATAAAATTCGTAAATTATTATATTATTATGTAAGCCCCAAAGAGGAAATATATTATTTTAATCTCTCCTTTCTCGGCGCTATAGATGTGTTAGACGTATATTATGTACCCATAATGTTTAATAATATATGTATTCGAACGGCGTGTTATCTGATTGTACACACACACCTGTAACATTTGTCTCGGTGGAGATTTGAACGCGAGTGATGTGTGCCGTATCCCATTATAATACGCATGATGGGATAATATATAATATTTGTAGAGGATGCACGCCACGATAATGATAATAATAATAATAATAGTATTACGTTTGTCCGGGGCTAAAGTTTTGGTCGTCACGCCTTATTGTTATATTACAACAACATAACACGAGCTATAGACGGTATAACAATAATGATATTGTCGTAACCAGAATCACACACACCCGATTATAATATTATATACAGGGTGATTCTCCAAGCATGCTCAACCCGATTTTTTTCAAATCATAACGGACCTTTTCGGTTGAAAATGTTAAACCGATGGTTCAAAAAAAAAAATATGGTCTTACAAAATGTGATATAGATATAATATTGGGTCTGCCCTTTATCATATCCAGGCAGTATTTTAAAAATTATTAAATACTGATAAATTAATATTAATTGCTAACATTTGCAATTGATCATAGCCTCCAAATTATCATCCAAACATATACACGACACACGGGTTACCTATTATTCTCGGTATAGGTACCTACACACAAGTAAATAATTAATAAGCTACCAGTTCAAATTTCGATTTAGATAGATGTGTGGTTCCTACCTATGGGCATTTTCTGAAAAGGCATCTACAGCTTTTAAATGTAGTCGAGTTTACCTACGGATAATGCTCATTAGAAATAAAAAAGTTGGTAGTATCGTCTCGGGATGATACGGGTCCTTAAATGGAACATAAAATACCCAAGTAGCAACGTGAAAATATATGGTCCTCGGTTAGGTATACTTACACAAATTCCCAAAATAAGAATTTGAATAAATGGACATTATTAAAGAGTGGAGAGCATGGGTTCGAATGTGCTCTGTGATACACCCTGTATATATAAAAACACGAAACGGGCTCTAAGGGTACGTTACGGCGTGGAATCGTCGTAATATATAATAACCCTTGCGTTCATCGGTCATCAGGTAGGGCGGGTGGGGAGGTCCCGCGAGAGGTTTTGAATATATTATTATATTAATATAGTGTTGTCGTGTGGGGGTACTAAGGTGGTTGTTGTGACGATCGTTGACACCACAATAGATTAAGGATCGAGAATCCCGAGGTCGAGATCCTACCCGAGGTCAAGGCACCGCAGCTGGTTTCTGGGGTCAAAAATCCCGACCGTCGCGGTCGTAGCAGCAGCAGCATCAGCTCACAGTCTATGTAATACGCAATCACTGGTGCTCGTATTGCAGACGACTTAACAGTATAATAATAATATAATATTACTCTATAATGCTAATAATATTTTTAACTAATTAAAATATATCGACGACGAAAAAATAAAAAATAAAAATTTAAAGTATATTATGTAAGTGACGATTAAAATGAAGTAAAATATTTTCATTTCTACGTACACGGATATCCCGGACCGCGGTCCAAGGGGGAATTTTTCCAGTATATATCCGCGGTCGGGACGCCGATGATGGTGGTCGCTCGTCGTGACAGACTTTCAACGTATATATTATATAAAATAGTATTATAATATTATTATACTTTACCGCGATCGTCTGTCGTGTACAACTCGCAAATCCGCCGCCAGTGCGACGATGATCTCGGCCGGGGAGGGGAATCGTCGTGTCCGGAAATCGATAGTACCTAATGTGCGAGCGTGTGCTGGCGAGTCGGTTTACGGGAAAAAGCGAAAGCGTACGATGACGGTCCTCCTTTGGGAAATCGAACGCGGCGTGTTTATTCGCCGTTAACTGTTTATTTATCGTTTTGCCAATAGTATTATATACCTCTGCCTACCTTATATTATTATTAGACGTGTTTTTTTTTTAACGGCCGTCACGATCTTAACTTTGACTTTAACGAGCCGTCATCGCGTCATCATAAATATCGGGTGCGTGCGTAACACGTCCGGTAGTAAGATTACGTGAATAACGCGTTCGGAGCACACCCGCGGCACTATACCGCGGTATAAATGTCGGTATATATAGTCATATAGACACTCTCTGCTGCGGTTATCGGACGAGATTATTTATCATTATTATTATTCAGTTGTGTAACGCAATCAGGACCGGAACGGGTGTGTGTAATACAGCTCTGCAAAAAACCCGCCCGGTGCAGTGTACACAACGCACGCGCCGTTAACGGGACAAACCGGTAAGCAACGCGGAGCCGCTCGACCAGACTACTCGCTGCTTTCATATTATTATTGTTGTAGTACCTTTACGAATATTATTATCGTTTCTCTCCCTGTAATACCTTACGGTTTGTGCAAGAAAACACGTTATTCCCCTTTCGTATCGTAATAAAAATTGTCATCACTTATGACATTATTATTATTATCATTTACGTCACTTTATAATATATTATTATATCCTATAGTGGTATAACGGCGTTTGTTTGAACGTCGTTATTATCATTAAAATATATTTTATTATCAGTAGTATAATAGGACACGTACATCACCCGCACCCACAACTACCACCCCCACCCTTCCCACCCACATGGCCCACCCATCTATAAGCGCGCTGACACTGACCTTTGACGTCATCGGGCTGCGAGACCAACAGGTCTTGGAGTCCGTTGGGCCCACCGCCGAACGGCGCCTGGAGCGTTCCCTGGTCAATGGGGTCCCGGAACACGAGCCGGGGACTCCTGGGCCCCATGGACGGTGGTGGTTGTTGTTGTTGGACCGGGTACTGGGGTAAGTAGCTGAAAGGTTGTTGCTGTTGCTGGGACAGAAGGCCTGGTGGCACGGCGGCTGGCGACCACGGGTTGTTGTTGTTGTTGACGATGTTGTTGTATGCGGGTGGCGGTGCGTCGTGCGTGGGCGGGAACCTGAGATACCGGCGCCGGAACTCGGCGGAACGGTCCCATGAGGTGGCCGCCGCGCCGTTCCGCTTGTGGTGGTACGGGTCCGCGGCGTACCGGTAACGGCGACGGCGGTTTTGCTGTTGCTGCAGGTCGGCGGCCAGCGAGGGCCCGTACTGTTGCTGCTGATATCGGTGGTTGTTATTATTGATATAGTGGTACGGTCGGATCATTCCGTTCGGGTATGCAGCGACCGCGGAACGCCGGAAACGCTTACGCCGGTACAGCTGTTTGGATGCCGACAAACGCGCCACTGAAAAGTCTACATCCGTGTCCACGGTGTCTGCAGCTGTGTCCTTGGTGTCATCCGCCGTCTTCGTGATGTCTGCAGCCATGTCTGCGGTGACAGCAACGGAGCGTCGGTACCGCTTGTACCGGAACAACTGCTTGTACGTGGATGACTCGGATGTCGAAGGGGCTGGTGTACGGCGGAACCGCTTCCGCCGGTACGACTGTTTGGACGCCACCGAGGCCATTAGCTGGGCGTACAGGTCTCGGTGTCGCGACGACTTGACGGCCATCTTAAACAGCCGGTTGTCGTGATTGCGCTTGTTCCGCCGTGTTTTGGACTTGTCGATCGAGCACATCTTGCACGCGGTCGAGTTACCGGCAATCATGGGAACTGGTTCGGCAAGCGTCGTCACGTTCTTCAGCGGGTCGTCCACGTACTGCCAGTCCTCCACGTGTTCGTCGAACTTGCTGGGTTTGCCGACCGCCGATTGCCCGGCCGTCTCGTTGCCGCCGTTCGTCAGTGGCGATTGCGTCGGGTAATCAGCAGTGGCAGCGATCCACGACGATGGGGACGACGACGACAGTTCGGAATTGGACATGACGGTCGTTGTTGTCGTGCCGTTGTTATTGTTGTTATTGTCGGACCCGATACATCGATCGGCCAACAGCATCACCGCGGCCAGGGTGGGTAAAAACACTAACAAACACCTGTAAAAATGATTTAACAGATTTAATGACAGATAGATTATGTTGTAGGAAAAAAATAAAATGTACAGAAATTAGGTAAAAATGTATTACGTCACAAGTCACGCTCATAAATTATATAGTTTGTGAAAACCGTTTTATGCTAAAAAGGTTATTTCATCGTTATAAAATCTGTTGTTTTTGAGTTTTTCAACTTAAATACAACTTAAAAAAATAATATTATTGTCGTATATATTGTGTATACAATTTTGTTTCTCATCTATGACTGAGTAGCCATAGTGGTAGCAAGAGTGACAAACGATTTATGTTTGTAGACGTCCTCTTGAAATATTATTGGGACCCTTGTTTTCTGATACGTCTTGTGAGCAGGACGTTCTTCCGGCGTTGGTCACACATAATATCATACCATGTTATAAGCGACATCCGACCAAAACAATAATGTATTATAACATAATATTTGTATTTTTTATTTAAATAAATTCATATATTATGTAATCCGAAAACTATAATAATAAGTATTTTAGGATTTTGATCGTGAGAAATAAATTGGTGTGCGATTGGCCCTTAGTTATTGCCAATATTTTCCTACAAGGTACAAACAAAAATTAGGGCCAGAGGTGATATGCATGTGCATTGTGCATACAATGACATCAAGATACCTAAAAACTAAATTATTTCCTCGCCAAACAACACCACGCATTTGTTACTTATCATTGCGAGTATACAATTGGAAAAAGATACAAAAAACACATTCGCTTGCATCAGATGCAGACAAATTGAATTTGTACCTATTTATAACGTTATTTGTTATTATGACTGTCATCATCAGTTTTTTTAATATCAACGTTGTATCGTCTATAGAGTTTTCCTCCACCCAGACCACGGTGTGGATTTTCGTCTAGTATTATTTTTATTTTTTTTTATTCTTAAACATACTGTAACGTCATAATTTAGAATAAAATTTTCTATTTCTACATAGTCTCATACACTGTTGTATAAAAATCTAACCAACCCCTCCCCACACCATACCAACATTTTTATACATTATTTATACCTAGTAAGTATCTAAGTCAAAAGCCGATAATGTTTTTGTTTAAATTTGAAAAGGCGAACTTTTTATGTAGTCGTATTATAAAAAATGTACCATTATTGGAAAGAATAATATTATTTGTGTGGATACCACGTCTTATTATGACAAGTCAGAGTTAAATCGGGGTCCTCGTTAATTTTAGTGTGTACAAATGCCGCACCAGAGGAAAATTAAAGTCATCCACTGCATGTTCCTGACGCTATAATAATACACTGTGCACTCGGACGTCATGACAATAATAATATATCGGATGAAGGTATATTAATTTCTTATAGTTACCTCAGACGGTTGCATCTCGGTGACATGGCGAACATGACGCGAATATTACGAATGACCGGTGTCAACGCGAAAACGCTCCAGCCATTTATTTATGTGAAAATTAAATATAATACCTATAGGATATTATGTAATTGGGTACGTGAAAATTAATTTGAAAAAAAATTATTTTATAAAGCTCGATCGAAGGAAAAATGTAAAGGTTTTAAAAAAAAAAAATAGAAACACGATTCCTCGGACACTAGTTTATTATAGGAAAATGATTACGTCGATTCGATGTTATTCGCGAACTGCTACAGAAGACGGTTGCGGACCGGAAGACGACGTAGAACTAGTGATGTGTTCTCGGGCCGGCATGACGGCACGAGCGGACAGATCGGACTGATGCGTTCGGAATCGGACTCGGTGCTGCTGTTGGCCGAGGACCGTCGCGTCGTCGGGACCGAACTCCCACCACCGCCACCACCGCCGCCGCGGGAACGCAGTGCCGACGGCGGCGGCGACGGCAGTGGCGACAAAAAAAAAATATGAATAATAAGGGAAAAGGGAAAAAAAATTACCGGGCCCATATATTATTACAACTATAATAGTAGAAATACAGCTGCACCGCGAAACGGAAGGAACGAGAGGAAGAAGAAGGAGAAGAAAGAGGAGGAGAAGGAGAAGAAAGAAGAGGAATATAATATAAGAAGAGAAGAAGAAGAGAACGCTCGCGCACTCGCACACACAAGTGAAAACCACTTTCATTTGTTATAAACTTTCTTTTGCAAGGTCAACCGAGGACCGGCATTGAAAATCCGACCCCCCTCCCCCACCCCCTCACTCACCGACAACCCTACTCCGATAAAGCGTATGTTATTGTATATACCTACCTATTACTCTGCTCGCTTATAATAATAATAATAATAATATTATTATACTCATCGCCGCCGCCGTCTGTTACGACACACACCAGACCGGCTGTTGTTTAGGTATGTGTGTGTGTACCTCTGTCTTTATGTGTGTGCACACAACACGAACATACGATTTTCGTAAACACTTTCACTGTGTGAGTATATAATAATATAATATAATGTGATAGGCGTTGTATATTCTAACGATGGTAATATTCGGCATGATATAATATTATAGGTATAAAAATTTCGTGCAGACCATATAGATTGGACTTATGGATAGATCATCCCTAAAGTAATCACCCAGGGGCAGCGCTCTCGAAATCAATGTATATGCCACATCGATATCACTGTTACCAGAAGATCCCCCTTGGTCTTTGTCCCATCCTATATGGATAATGGGTATGGTCGCAAAAGGGTATATAAGAATTTTCACTTTCTTTGTATGAACGAAGAAAAAAATTCCGGTCTCTATAGAAATGATGTACACCTAGCAACGTCCAATGTTTTTTAAATTGATCCGGGTGGCTAGAATGAATTGCTGTCAGTGGTCCTGCGGTTGTTAAAACAGTATGTATTTATGGTGGGCTGAAGGGATTCGCAGATAAAAAAATTTACAAGCAGCAGATATGAAAGTCTTAAAAATGAGATGGACTGCGGGACGAACTTTGGGATGCAGCGGGTTACTGTACATGAGGAGGACTTGGTAGTAGCTGCAAAGGTCTCTTGTAATAATCGAATTATTGGCTCATGGATGTGCACACGGAACAACATAATTATTATTAACAATTACGTATATCGTATTGTATTATACGATGTGGATCAATGAACAATAGTCAAAGGTACAACTCGCAAATTATATATTATTAATCGGTTTCAATACGGCAACCATGAGAAATAGCGCGAAACACACCCTCATAATAGGACGTCAGAGCGAAAATCTGGGAGGGGTGTCATTCTTTTAGATATAATACGCAACACAAAAATTTATCTTGTATGACCTATAAATACGTTATATTTTATTGTATAATATGAGTATAATCAAATTAATCAAAAAACTATCACTTTCCTTTATTGTTTAACTATCATTTAGAGATGTTTTATTAAATTATATATTATTTACCTACAATCTACATATACAATAAAAAAAACAAGAAAACAAAAAAATGTATTAATTTAAGTTACCATACGTCTTTTAAATTGTTCTTATTTTAATATATTATACTTTATTTATTAATAATTATTATTATTTTAACCTACATTTTTTAAATTTATTTGATTACCTTTAACTAGGGCTGGGATTTTGATGCGATGCCTCATGATTTCTGATGCCTCAAAATATAGCTTCGTAAGTGGAAAATGAGTTTTAGGTGATACTAATATTATCTTAATATTAAATAATAATCTAATAGTTACCTAGTTTTATTTAGGAGTTTTTTACAAATTTAACATTTTATGAATATTTTGATGTTTTTTAAGACATTTTTGAAGTTCTAGAGCATTTTCACAAAATTTTAATTTTCTTCTTCTATGGCCGGATAGTAACGAACTTGAATATTATATAATCATTAATCATACTAATCACTAATCAGTTATTCATTTATTATACAGTACAACTTGTTTTACGAGATAAACTCATACAAGGATTACGTCACCGGTAATTTAAACCAGATCAACTACGGAAACTACTTGCTTAAATAGAAAACATTTTTTTTTAAATAAAAGTATCATGTTTTTTTTAATTAGCATCAATAAATACATTTTTATAGTATATTTTTATGCGATTTTGATATTTTTTAGGATATCATAATTCCGGCCCTACATATAACTAAATATGTATAATTAAATATTTCTTTAAAAAAAAGTGGGATCGAGTACTTGTGAAAACTTGGCCTTTTGAATCCTTCCAGGATCCGTCTCCAACCACATATATAGGCATTAAAAAATAATGAATAGTCCATTTCAGCTTATCTAACGGGAAAGATAATGAAAATGTCTTGAGGCTATACCATAGAGAGTCAATAGTAAAAATAGTTAACAGTATATAATAAGCAGGAGTCCCTCTGTCAGAATGAGAGACATTGATAAAAAAAACAGTTTCTCTCTTCCGCATTCGGACACTCGAATCGACCTCTATTTTGCAGTTATTATATTATTGGCCGTAGCCTATCCATTCTCCAATATGCATATAAAAAAAATTATGAACACATCACTTGCGTGTGCGTATATTATACTTTACAGGAAGAGACCTGCATCGGTTGCAAAAGGAAGGAGGTTTAAGGACGTCTGCAGCCGATTTGTCGATACAATAATAATGATATATAATTAAAATATAATATAATATGGATAATAGGCCGTATTTTATGTCACGGGGGGACTGGCCGGGAAAAACGCGATCAACCGGGTCGACGCATCACGACTATATAATATTACAATGTGTATAATATATAACAAGACAATAACGTATAGTATAATATAATAATGGTAATCAGATATCATATGATTATTAGGTACAAATTATTATGAAACGAAAAAAAAATCGCATATTTACTAGTTACAAAACAATGTATAATAATATTATATGGTGGTTGAAAAAAAAAATTGAAACCTATAGTTTTTTTTTTGTTTTTACGTAAACCACACGTATAAGAAAAAAAAACCAAAAATTGACTTTTCAAGCGGTTATTGTCCTGTCTGCCTCATCATCGTTGCAAATTACACGACGGTCGCTTTTCTGCAGACCACAAGTTATATAGGTACACGTTATTGGTTTTCCTCAGTCAATCTCCCAATATCTGCATGTAGGTAGTGAGTAGGTATCATTATAATAGTTGGGTTATAGGACGTTTACCACTTTTACATGTTATGTTTTCTTTTAGTCGTGCACACATAATATTACAGATAAAATTATAAATCCGTTTGGTATGATGTAGCAACAGTTGTAAATTTAACTTGCATTAGTATTATAGTTAGGTAATACAAATTCATCTTTCTATTTTTTATAGATTTTTTTTTTATATTTTTACGATTTTTTTTCTTATTAGGTATACATATAATAAATAATATGTAAGTATATTATGTATTAGGTAATTTATTGTAAATTGTAAATTTTTTTTGAGCTTGAGCCTGAGCCCGGGAACTAAATGTAAAATTTACATTTTAATGGCTGTTTGTAGGGGGGGGGAGGAATTGTTGGTTGAAACACGTTTGTATCTGTGGCAATAATTTGTTGCCAAAAATCCCGGGAAGTCACCCATCCGGGAGCTAGAAACACTCAGAGGGTTTCTGTATTTGAGTGTATGGACCGCGACACGTTTCGCCATAAATCGTTAACATTGTAAGTCACACATAATATAATAGAAATTATAATATTATGAAAATATTAAACTAAAAATCATGAAAAGTTTAATATTACCTACATACTTACCTATTATTGAAAATTAAAAATCAATAATGTTATATTAGTTATTATTTTATCAATAACTTATTATATAATTTAATATTATTAAATTATTATAGTTAGGTACCGATTGTTAAAAATATTATATTTTGAACAAAAAATGAATAATACAATACTATTTCAATGCATTTTATAATGTCATATTTTATTGTTTTAAGGACATGCTTAGATATTTTTTGAGCATAATTGCATGGATTTTTAAAATTTTTAAAAAATCATAAGCAATCATAAGCATCCTCACTCTAATTGCCTAATTATTACAATACATTTTAATAAAAATAGTGTTATGACCAAGCATTATACCTACCTAGTGGGGGCTTTGAAGTATTTTTTATCTTTATTTCTTTCATATGTGTATTGTTGTTTAAAATATCCATCATACTTTGATAATTTGTTTGTTATCGCTATCACACGTATGATGCTGCAATCGAAACATAATTATTTAATTTTTCTTAAGAATTTATAGTATACATAGACTATTTCAGAAGGTATACCTAATTCAAAAGTTTGTATAGTGAATTTATACATTGAAAAGGATGGCCTATTTGTTATACCTAAGTTAAAACATTGAAAATTAGGATTTTAAAAGTCAGAAGGAATACGTTGCTGTCAAACTATGTATAAGTAACCTACACCTATTTCGTCAGTTTTTGCAAGAGTATGAAATTTGCGACTGGCATAAAAAATAAAAAATGTTATTTACAAAACACATAAAAATTAATTTTGGTAATTTCTGCCATTTTTTATTGATGCAATTGGCGCCACATAAGACTAGACTCACCAAAAGTAAAATAAAAAATAATTTAATTCAATATTGCAAGATATACGTATTGTGTATAAATTAGTAATAAAATTTCAGTTGATAAAAAATATGTGAAAATCAGTAATCTTCATACTCGTGCGCCGATTCAATGATGGTGCCTGTAATAATTAGTACCCCCGCATAGTTGGACAGTGCTTCTAAATTTTTTTAAACATTTTTCACACCAACATTTTTGTAAATTAAAAACTGTGTAATATTTATATGTAGGTAGTAAGTACATTGGGTCAAGTTGTATGTACACACAGCAATAATTTGGTTATTTATAAACATATTATATTTTTGAAGTTAAAAATAAAATATTAAATTCTATAAAATAAATAGTGACGTAAATTTATATGTGTTACGAAAACAGTTA